AAATATTGAATTGCAAGCCTTCACAGAGAATCTGCAATGAAGCAAAGGTAAGGCTGTGCATGTCAGATGCACCTACAAAATATATCCCACTCCGTTCAGGATCAGTGAGAAAGTCATAGAATGATGTATGCAGGGGTCGGACAAGAGATGTCCTGTCTGCAATGCCACCCAATAATGGGGACATGAATTCAAGAATGACGACCATGTCGAAACGGTCCTCCTCGTAAGGGAAGTGAGCACGCATCTTGTTAAGGGCATCCATTCGCAGGGGTTCGAATGTCGACATGATCTGCTGCATCACGGAACGGAACCGTGCGAGTGTGGCCTTGTCATTAGGTATAGCGTCTTCCAGGATTGTCCTGTACATGACATCCAACAGGGTTCCACCACCTCCAGAGGAGGAAATGCGACCTCATAAAAGCGCTCCCTAACAGTCCGACCAGGCCTATTTGGCTTGACGAAATCGCAGGCCAGACGAGCCCATTCAAATAAGCCATCCGACTTGTGGACCATGACTTGGATTTCGTTGTCTTCGATCTCTGGAAGATGCCCAAGTTCCTTGGAGACGTATAGTCGGATATCGTGTTCCATCGACTCCTGCAGAAACATCGTCCAGCGAAGTCACCTTCACGTGTGAGCGAGCACCCAAAGCACGCTCGATGTCGGGCAGCGGCCTAGATGTCAGGAGAATCCGCATATTCGCGGGCAAATGGGCAACTTCCGTCGAGCTAAGGAGGGAAAGTATATGTCTCCTTGACGTTTCCGGCCCACTTTCATCCAAAGCATCAATCACTACAACCACATTCCCAACCATCAAACCATCCACCTTGGACAAGGGCCCCAAGATGAAGTGCTGCCACTGCTGCATCACATCAGATGTTGCCTTAAGATCGTAGTTTCTTGTTACAACATCCACCAATGCTCGCCGAAATACCAGGTCACGGTCGGCCAGATCACGGGCAATAGTCGCAAATATTTTCTGCTCCCGGCGCTCGGCCTGCCTGTCACGAGCGAAACAGAAACATGATCCAAAACCCCCTGCGTCCTTGATCCACGACGCAACTGTATGAGCAATGGCAGACTTTCCCCTTCCGCTCTGCCCACGAAGCCACAAGATTCGAGGGGCATTGATGTCAAGATCGGTGGCCCAGTGAATGATCCGCTGCAGAATTTCTGTCCTCGTGCCATCCAGGCATTTCTTGGTTATGTTGAACCCAGCCCCAGCTGCATAAGCCATGCCTTCGAGGTTCACGTCTTCAAGTACGCGGGGAACGTTGACCTGAATATCTCGGACCTCACAGTCGCGATATTGCTGCATCAAGTCATCTAGGGCGTTGATGTAACCATCGACAGCCGACTGGGTTTCGGAGGTAATGTTTTTGCCTAATCTTCTCCCTGGGAGTGCAACTTGTTTGAGCTCCTCGAAGCGAAGTGAATAAGACAACGCCTACAAAAACTCTTCATTTCGGTGTAGTTCATGATGAACTGTGCAGCAGCGCTCACGACCCGCGCAATCTTTGCCAAGGTATCTCTCATGCGGTTGATATTCTTCATCATATCTTCCTCTAGAAGTAACTTGTAGACGAACCCAAGTTTCTGCAGAAGAGCCGGTGTCGCATTGTATAGGCTGGCTTGGGTAATGATCGACTGACACAATGACCGTATTAGCAGAAGGTACAAATACGGTGAAGACCCATACCTGAGAAGCAGCAGTCAAAATTCCCAATGCTGTCTGGGCGTAAGGGTGAATCTGCGTGCCTACATTAGAACAGGCTTTGCACAGGAAAATCGATAGCATACGTCTTCGATAGCGGTAACAATGGAGTGAAAGATCTCGAGAGACTGGAGATACGGATTATTCAGATTCTGCATATCTATGACAGCGGTATTAGCCGCGGTTACGAAGTCGGCGGCTGTCGGGGTCGGGCCCATCAGCGACACGGGCACCGTAACATCCAGTGCCAACGGAGCAGTATCGACCCTCGTTACGACTGATCCACGATCTAGGTCTGTTTCTGTAGGGAGACTTTGACTCTGTCAGTTGAAAGTAATCAGCGTCATTGTAATGACGAGACCGGATACAGATTACATACCGAAGACTTCGCAGCCCCGAAGAGAGGTTTCTTTAGCAGCTTTCTAACCATTGAAAGGTGTTTATTTCGTGTGAAGTTTACGGGTTTGATCCAATGCTGATGGTGTAGGCAAGGGAAGACTCAGGTTTCAAGAGAGCTGATTCTGAGTTACATAGACGCCAGCCGTGCCAGACGTGGCTGTGGCGGTGCACAGACCTACTTGATCTATGTGGCCCCTCCGCGGTCCGCCTAAGAGACGCAGACAGCGTCTTTAAACCGTGATAGAGAAACCGATCATCAACGAACTTCTGGCATAACCAGGACGATGCATGACATGTATATCTCGATTAAGTTGTAAAGTCCTCTCGTCTTTTCTCGTGTTTTCCGCATTTCGACTGGCCCTGAAAGTATCATGATGAATAGCCAGCGATTGCGAGTCCCACTGTTGAGGCTTGCTGCGTATTTCTGCGTACTGCCCGCGCTTACGCACCAATAGGTCAGGATTACCACTTCCCCTCATCACCGACCTACTACCGCTATCTTGCAAAGTCTCCGTCCTCTCAAAGGTGTCATAACGTGGCATATGGTGACAGTAACGTTCTAACGTTTTCGAGCGAAAGGTCTGTCCCCAGTTGCAAATTATGAGTTCAGCGTGCATCTTAGCCACCCCTTCTGTTACGGAGACCGTGGGCATGTAATTGTTCGTGGTATTCTTTAGCTGATAACAAGGTTAGGCAGTCAGTCGAAGCGGGTCGTTGTATCGGGGCGAGTTTATCGCATCACGACTGTGATCATAATTCGCATCGTGCCCCCATCCGTTATCGGGTGCATCGTTCTCGTTGATCTGACAACATTGACTGCTCCTCATGAATGCTATCCCAGCAGTTGCACTATCACGTGCAGTATCTATGTCTGCTACAGCGCTCTTCCATCCGCTGCTGACAGGGGAACACTGCAAAATTCTTTATGACGATTTGCGAAATCTAATACCAGAGCTTGTACCTCATCGTGCGCACAGTCATCAACGAGAACGCCCGCTCTTTCCTCGTCACGTACATTCCCATCATCCTACGTGAGATTTCTGGACATGGGTCTCCTCCAAGCCTAACTCTGTCGAGCTTACGCAGCCATACATCTGCACCATCAGGAATGTCATCCTCTGGAGCGTCTCCACTGCTTGGCTTACGAGTACACTAACACTCACTCGTTCACGCCTCCACTGACAGCAGCAGCCTCGATGCTATGTGTATCAATGCCAGCTCCGGAGACGGGACTCTAGTCAATGCTTGCTACGATTCATTACCGTCCATTGGTGTTGGAGAAGTACCACCCGCAGCCTTTGTCTCGGCATACACGCACATTCATATTCAAGTCTATTCTGTCTGGCGGAGGTAGACTTGGTGAGTTAGATTCGCCACCCACGAGTGAATGAGTCTAAGGAGATTGTGGCTGCAGGGACGGAGACAATTGCCAACGAGAAAAATTGAAATCCCGATGCTAGCGAGGATGTGACTGACTTGCCTGGCCACAGATTCTTGGCAGATACACTCGTGCCCTCAATCGAGGCCCCTTTCGTGTGTACTCGCACTGAACTGTGTATCCAGCGCCCTTCTACACGTCTTCCGACGATTCTAAAGGTTTTTTTCTGTGCTTCTCCGGGCGTTCGCATCGATCCCACGAGAAATATTATCTAGCCCGAATCCTCGCTTGCTTAGACATCACGTGTTGGCATCCTGAAGGTCATCCGATACTCGTTGATTGGGTCGGACGTAGCGAGGGAGTGAAGACTCGCTGGAGGAACTAATTTGAACGTGCTGGTGAACGACCATCGTGTCGTTGTTCATCAATGCTCCTGGAACTCCCAGCTCTCAGTCGATTCTCTCAAACATCCATGATATTTGCGCGGTTACCAATGAGTTCATAGGGATAATATAGGTGCGTCAGTCGTGCAATTGCTTCAGCCCTGCCTTTGCCGCCACCATCCTCAGACAGAAAGGAAGAAACCACCGTACCCAGACCTCAATATCCTCATCAAGTTGCGCAAATAGGATACATGACTCAGCGTCTATGTTGTGCCAAACCCTTCGTGGTCAATCTACACGGCCCCACATAATGTAGATCGGAGAGTGGTAGTTCGTCTTTTTTTCGCACCAGCCGACTCCTAGAGTGTGGACACCAATATGCGTCCGTGTGTCATGACGGCGAGCGATACAGGACTAGTAGTCCTGTTCCGGACGGATTGTACCCAGACGTTTGCGTTTCTCCCTCGCAGATTGAATGTGCGATTGTGTAGGTATCGACTCTCGAGACACCGCTCGGGGTACAGTACTCAGGATAAGAAGCGCTGCGTATATGCAAGGGGGCACACCTGCGGCCCTGTCAAGACACATGGTGGCACGATCTTCCACGTCCATTTCCGAAACGTCCACGTCGTAAACCCCGTGATCAGAGCACGGGCTGTCGTGTGGACTGCATGCTCGCCCTCATCTCTGCAAGTATGCTGTGTCATATGTATATGAGTGCGCCCTTGGAACGGACACCGATAGTCGCCTGATTTGAGGTATCAGGTAGAGCATTGCTGTTGAGGGTCAACAGGTCAAGCGTCAAGCTTCAAGACAGGATCGGCTTAGGACGAGAGAAGGCATGCGCTGAAGGAGTCAACTTCCGACTGAGACTTGATTGGAAGGTCTAGTCCGTCTCGGCGATGCAATATCTCTACCTGCGCCCGCTTGCCTTGTCCTTTGCCTCGGACGATGCCATGCTTACAGGTAGATTCCTCTGTCATTGCTACGCTATATATCCCAAGTAAAACATGGATATTACTTACTACATGTCAGCATAATCACCGGCCACACATTCAGGCGCGCAGCTGCAGGCTTCTGCACCATAAGTCCTCTGTCAATCAATAACAATCGCAGAAATGTTATCCTCCTTTGTCAAAGGTCTAACTGGTGGGATTTCATTAAGAATATAAGTCTAGTGAAGTACACTGGTCACTGGAGCGATACGTTTGACAAGGTACGCGAACAACATAATAAGTATGAAGCTCAGCCACGGTACGTAACGGAGCCAAGTGTTAGCTGGTCGCAAGAGCTGTGAAAACGCAACGAGGCGTGCTTCACAGATTGCCGAAAACCAAAACTCGTGATCGGAATTGTGCAAATCAGTCACGTTATGTGCGATCTCGTGGGCAAGAGCAAGGAACCTTCAGTGGTAACATTTGTTAGACAATGCAATAAGGTGACAATAAGCGAAATAAACAGACCATGACATTTGAGCGTTCTGTCGGTTCCCGTTTTTTACTTGCTCATCATCTGAAGTCATTGTCTTAACGGTTTCCTAGCTGAAAGGCAGAAACCAAAGTTCACTCACGCCAAACCTCAAAATATCGCAGATTGAGGTAGATGATCCCTTGGCAATTGAATGCAATGCACCCTCCAGAAACGTCATAGAAAATACGCAAGGTTGTTGTTGGGAAATGATATATCTCGGAGAGAGTGATGATGATGTCTACGAAGCGAGCAAGCGGGCCGTGCATGCGTTCCATAAATGTGTTAGAGTTGGGCATGCCTGTGCAAATGTGTGGCTCCATGTTAATAGACGGACGTCATGTTCGGGTAATGAGGGTCGGAGTTTACCTTCAACCAGACAGACTTGAATATTATTCACTTGTCCTAGTTCTTCCGTGAACAACAGCCGGAAACGACCCGCGCCAAACTCACCAATGGAACGCAGACTTCCGGCGTCTGCAGACGCCTTGCAGAAGCCGCTACTCAAGGACTGGCTCACCCCTGCGTCAATAGCTAACTTTTCCCCTCCCAAGCTACATGCGTTGATGGCTTTCTCTACATTGTTCCCTGGGAAACAGTCAAGATACCCCATCTCATCGTAGGGAAGTAAAAGTCTCACGGATGTAACTTTGCGAGATCACCTCACGCGAAGTCCTAGATATGTGATGAGGGACGTGACAATACTCGACAGCCAAGCCTACCGAGAGAGGGGGAGAGAGGTAGAATGCCCAACTGTGTCTAAGGGCTGTTCACCAGAAGCGTTGGATGCCTCGTGAACCTTCAATAAGGTGCTGTTAGCAGTGTTGGGAAGGCATGGGAACTGCGGGGTGGTTTCGGGACTTCCAGGCGACCTTTCACCCAATCGGGGATCAGACTGAGTATTCAATGTAGATTGTTGCGGAGAATTAGTGGTCGAAGCGGAACCTACAAAATCCTTTTTCCGCGCCTTATTCCTCACTCCGTACTCATCTCTGCGTTGTTGAGAAATTTGATCAACTGCGATGTAACCAATACTTGTTAGCCAATTGCGATGGGCACAGGCAGCCAGACCAACCAAGAAAACCTCTGCGCTCCAAAGATTCCAAGCCCACCGAAAGGATCGTCTCAAGGAGTACCGTAGCGTTCATCTTCTTTGTTCCAAATAACAGTCGACAGAGAGATGTAGCAACTCTTTTCGCGTTGTCAGACGCCAAAACAAAGGATGCTGCAACAACTCACTGATACATGTCGGGCTTTTGCGTTTTGGAAATCCATAACACTATACAGTCGTCTTCACGCCTCACGATTGTCCATACATCTCTTGTTCGCTTCACGTTCCTGTTCACAAGAGTCTTGGAAACGCGGATCCTTTTACATGCCTTGACTTTGAGGTGATCCGGGCTAGAAGGGATTGTAATTTTAGGCTTTGTATCTGGATAATTTTGAATGAACAAGGGGAGCCGCTCAAGAATCAATGATTGGACTTCGGCGCAGGTCTTGGTAGCTGGTATTTCATGGAGATCATGGCAACTCTCTCTAACGATCGTGCTCAGATAACTGCACCCGAGCGATGCGTAGAAGCCTGTTGGTCCGGACTGAGTGAACAGCTACCAAAGATCAATATCAAGGCGCACGTTGGAGTTCTTCCCCTTGGGGAGCGACGAAGAGACAATCTCCAAATAGCTGGTAGTCGATGTTGTCATCGACAATAGTCACCCCCTCATAAGTCAGGAACTGATGATCGTACTCCCATACGGCTTGGTCCTCATTTTTCTTCCGACGCACACCAAGCAGGGTAGGTGTGTGGCTCATCTTATGCAGAGTATTGTTGGAAATGTCCTGGCTCTGGTAGGCCAACTTTCGCAGCTCGACTAAGAACCTAGTATTAAACAGGTGAATGATGATCCCAGTAGGGGCCTGGCGAACCTACCCTTCATAACCTCCTGCGAGCTCGAAGAATCGCCCGGGGTTTTCGGTCAGTACCTCCGCAACGTCTTGTATTGACACTTTGCTCTTCGAACCACAAGTGGATAGGAAATGGTTCGCTTTGGTGCCGAAATTCACAAAGACGAACAGTTTCCCATAAAGTACTGGCTTTGTACCTTTATCAAGGTAACATTTGGATGGGGAAAGTAATCTCGGAGCACTCGATGGACCCGTCGGAACTATCTGCAACTCAGACAGTTTGAGGAAATCAGAAGGTAAGAAATCTGGAATGAGTGATGTCAACACACGCAAAAGAGCAGAAGGACTAAGGACTCACTTGACATATGGTCAAATAGAATTTCAAACCAGCCGTCAGCAGTTTTTTCATCGGGCGGGGGGTTCTTCTCCAGTGACTCCAGAAGTTTTGACCTCGAAGGATGTTGCATTACACCTAGTTGATGCAAGGGCGCGCTCAGAGCGCTCAGGTATCGGTCTTGTACCACAAAAAAGCCTAATGCCTTCCACTGGGTACCGGTGTATACCTTGAGTGGGTGTTAGCAGGAACGCAAACACAGGCGAACCTCACTGTACTTCTCCCAACTTCTTCAAGCAAGTAAAATCTTTGCTCTCTGCAGGAATGAATTCCACGTCACAGAAGTCCTCTGGTCTATAATCTCGGTACTGCGAATGAAGTTCACGGCACAGGTAAACAAATGCAGTCTCTTGGACCCCATTATCCTTTGATGAGCAGAGTTCCACAATCTTTGGGAGAGGTGGGAAGTGATTCAAACCGAGACGGTACAGCAGTCGGGCTAGATGACGATTTAATCAAACGGATGGGATAGATAAAGTACTCAGCTTGCCTTGGGGTGATGTATCACTCCATTCCGATTTCGCGTTCCATTCGATCACCGGTAGACGGAGGCTCCGGAAGATGTCCACAGGCGGGTAGAGTTCATCAGCGCAGTGACGACTATTCTCTTCATTGCTCTGGAAACTTTCTTTCGTGAAGATTTCGGCCAATTTGAGAGCAGAGATGTCCTCGGATGTCAACTCGGGTCCCAATTGGGCGAGATAGTCAACCAAGTCGAACACAGTCCACTCTCCCGTCGACAGCATTCTTGATCACTCTCAGTGAGCGCAAGAGCCAAGAATGTTGCGGAAACCTACTGATGGAAAAGAAACTGGATTGGAAGACTCCTCCTAACTCCAATGAAGGAAAGGCATCTTTTCATACCCTCGTCAACCTCAAATCCTGAATCACGGCCGACTATCGGCAGGTCAAGGTGATAAAACAGAGAATTATCTGCGATAGGAAGATAAGAGCCTTCCGGAAAACACAAGCCCTTAGATGTAGGGATGCATGGCTTGTTTCTGAGGACTTCCCTTGATTTATTTCGCATATCTTCAGAAAGTTGAGACCATACACGGCAAAGGGTACGGAGAACACGGCTAGCCCAGTCAACCGACCGAGTAAAGTCGTATTTCTCATTGGCCGACATGACATCGGGTCGTGATAAGTGTTGTAGCCATGAGGTAATAGTGAACTCTTTCCAACCGAAGGTAGCAAGCTCCGCGCAACCGAAATGCTTGCTGACGCTAAGAGGGATGAGAAACAGAGGAAGTGGTCCGTCGGCTGGGATGTAGAATCCAAGAACTTTTGGGTCAACGAAGTAGGTTATCGACGATAGGCGTATCGCTCCACCTGGGCGGTGGAAAGTAGCTGCGTCCAATAGGTCAGCCATATTTGATGTCAAATTACCACGCCAGGTTATACACCAACGAAGGCATGCGACCAGCTCTTCAACATCCAGGGTATGGCAACGTAGACCTTGTAAAACGTCTGACATCGCTATCTTGGGGATTTTGTGTTGATGTGGAAGTGCTGTAATGAAGTGTGCACCGTCTCGTGCGACGTCTTCTGAGAGCATCGGTAAGGACTTGAGAAATCTGGCCACTCCCGAGTCGAACAATCTTATGTCGGGAGCTGCGTGTACGCCAACAGATGAGAGAAGCCTCAAAGGGAGGGGAGAACATCCATAGAATGAGTCCGCTAATAATTGTGCGACTTTCGACGAGGGTGTGGAAGGACGAAATGTGAAGAATTTGAGAATGTGGATAAAGCGTTGATCCTGTAACTCTCTGGATGCGCGTGAATGTAATTTATCGGCAGCTGCATCCTCCCACGAACTTTGAATCTTGGAGAGCTCCAAGTCGTACACCGCCCGACATAAGAAACCTCCAACATAGAGTAACTCCCTATTCCAGACTGGACGATAGGGGTAGGTCAGGGACATCTCGACGGAGCAGGACACTCACCAGCAACATTTCTGTCGCTGGGGTACCATGTTAGCAGCCGGTTGAAGCCACTTGCGTACAAACCTAAACTCACACTAAATCTATGGATTCACGCTCTACAGTGGGGATGAAGTGTGATGCCATGTGACCTCCAATGCCTGTCGTTTGTGCGGTAGCATGACCCTAGCAAAGTCATCAGCAGAAATCAGGAGATGATTGTGTGAAGACTCGCGATGAAAACTCGTGTGGACGTAGCTCTGGTGTTCCATTAGATCATTGGTTTCGTTAACACAAATGGCTGCTCACCCATCCAGATCGGCGCGAAGCCCTCGGAAAGGAGATGGGAAATCACGAAGGTGTTTCTGTTCGTTTATGTGATTCTGATCATATTCATCTTTATCGGTCTTGTGAAATGAATCTGAATAATGCATTCGAGGCACAAGGAGTCTAGTAACTTACATAGATCAAACTATACTTGAGGCGAGAAGGCGGATTCTTTTTCGTACACCGATTCAGCTCCTTGGACAATTTCTCAATGGTATTGACATCCACTTCCGCTGTGAACACAGTCAGGTCCATTTTTGTCTCGTGCATTCGCATAGGCTCATATCTGATTCTAGCTTTAATCGTGATGGCTAGTCAGGTGTAAGACTCGGTGCGCAAAGCGTAAATGCTGGAAAGACTTGCGATGTCGCTCAACGGACTTCACGATCAAGTTCTTCTCGGGGGTCCACCGCACTAGCTCCACAGGAATAGGAATAGCTTGAGACTGTCCCAGGGATTTGTTAATCTGTCCCACAGGATAATCATCAAAAAACACAGTCACATCCTTCAGATCAACCATGAAAGTGATGGATGATGCAAGAAACTGCATTAATTCCGAAACTGGTGGCATTGGGGCAGCCTCTCGTAGTGGCATCTTGAATGTTGTCCATAGATTCCTAGTCGCTGTTTGGGGGATGTCGCCAAATCGGTAGTGGAGCTAGACGCAAGGTCAAGAAATGGTACTAGTGATCGACTGATCTTCATACCTGATTTTCTTCATTCCACGAGAACTCCATCTCCTTATCTAACATTGTGTAAGACTGGGGTCTTCTCGAGAAGATGTACTAGGATCCTACCCCCGGATGCTACATATGGACTTTCTGTAACAGAAAACAAACTGTAAAAACCTAGGAACGGTTCATATTCAAGCACAGTTCCATTCTGAGCGGCGCTTGACACCTACCGACACCGAATGCGCCGACCTTCTGTGGGTCTGGATTTCCCAAGGCTGGATGGCGAATCGATTATGAGACCAAAGCCAACAGGAGGCTGAGTGAGTACAAACCAATCTTTGGTAGTCGGCCCCAATCTTGTGGTGTGAACGGTTTCCCGTGGTTTTTGAATGTCCATTGCGCGACCTTGAGTGAGTGTTAATGGAATAGCAATGAGATGGAGAATCAAATATGGTTTTGTACATTTGTTGTCTTGAAGTCGGACAACTTGGGCGGCCCAGCGTTCTTCGCTGCTTTAGGATCCAAACTTGAGAACCTAGCAGTCTCGAAGCGGATTTCGGCGGTGTCACATCCAGCATCGTCTGAATTCTGAAGCAGTTCGCGGAATACTGACAAGTCAACCGTATAAGAAAAGGAACGTTCGAACATGATATTCGTTTACCAGTGAACTCGCCAGAATAGCGAGCAAGAATTTTATCGATCAATGCACGGCTGTCAACGGTCACTGATGCATATCCTTGTTGAGACTGGTGCTGCAGGATAGTGACCGGAGCCACCAAACAACTGCCGAGACCAACGTACCATTAGAATCCACACTTGCTGCTATTGAGAGGCTCCTCCGAGTTGGTCGCTGACAATCCAAGAAAGTCAGACAGTGAAGTGTGCTCGACTTGTCCTACAAATGCTGTTTGAAGCTGTACGCACACTAGCAGACTAGATGACGTCTCCAACAGCATGACAGGCATCTTCTTTACGCATGGGAAGAACAGAAGATTCCGAAGAAAATGCGACTAAAATTATATTTTGATATAATATTGGATGACTTCCGTAGCATAAATCAGAGTAGGCTCAAATATTTTTTGGCCAATTTGGATGGGCTGCCGAGGATTCACCGCAGTCGCAGTCGACGACAACCACGGACAGGCCAGTGAGTGAGCAGATAAGCAGCCACGGCAGCGTGCCAGGTGTCCGCACTTGTAGACTCGCAACTGTTTTCCAAGTCTCTGGGTCCTACGTCGTCGATTATTACACCGGTTTGCGAAAATAATGTCAGTTAGCAAAATATTTGTGAGCGCGTCGTGAGCCCTTCCCGATATGGGAATGTAGGAATGTGTGCGTTCATCGCATTCATTTGTCTACATACTACTAGCGATGGCCGAACTACATCATGTACTCACGAGATGGCGCAGTAAACAACATGTGCTGCAACGTACTTACCCATTCACTGTTATTGCGGCACATAGTATCTATCATCTCGAACAAACGCGTCCTTTAGCTGTACACAGTGACTATATCCTGGTCTTCTGTGGTGCTGGGCGAGCGTGCGCTCGTTCTTACTCGTTTCGTCAACGACCGCGAGTTCCGACCCGTCGCCAGTGAGATTTTCGTGAGTCGGAGTGACCCCGGTAGTTAGTCTCACTAGTGTTTTCATGCCAGCTTGGTACGTTTCCTTGTTAGGCGGAGCTCACGACGCGTTCACAAATATTTTGCTAACTAACATTATTTTCGCAAACCGCTGTAATGTTTGTTTCTATTTCACGCCATAATAGGGTCCCTCAAAGCTGGCGCCAACACCGCCGACGATACCTACGCCTGCAGCGCGACTACCATAAATTAGCTGTAGGCGTCGGCGTCGGGGCCAACTTTGAGCGGCCCTAATGCCCAGGTGTTTCGTCGTGCAGGGCACCACGTAGAAGTTCGCTGCGCAGTGGCTAGTCGATGAGGGGGAGGACTCGGTCGGTAATTGCGATGTTGTGGTTAGCGACTCACGACTCGACGTGGTTGGGGTACATTTCGACACATTCTGTAGACACTTCAGTCTAAGCCTCCATCCCTGATGACTACTGCCTCCGAATGGCAGGGTCAAGGCTTTTTAGCATTGCCTTTGAGGTCTTGACTCCGACTGTCGCGAACACCAAATACTGATCGTACAAGGCAGTTGCAACGTGTCTACAGGTGTCCACAGCATTTTGGCGCCGCACTTCAACCCTCCTTGTCCCTACGTCTACATCCCCAGCATCGACCCCATCAAGAAATTTGAACGAAATACAGGTTTCTCAATGGCTCGCAACCAGCCAAAGAAATACCGTCACTTTATATCCGCAAAACCATCTGGTTCTGCATCTGCGTCCAACTCGGTGGGCAGTTAATTCTTTCATAGGTGATCACAGTTACTTATCCTCAACGAAACAATTGTAGAGGCCGTCTCAAGCTCTGGCGCGTAACGCAGCTTCGATCGCTGGAACGTCAGGCCGTATCACTGGTTTCTTTCATGAGGTGTTTGCAAAAACGAGGCGCATCTTCCGTCGGTCGAACCAAGGTCACGTCACAGCAAGGACCGTCGACACAGAGGTCTGTGGGGGTGCTCAGGGGCAACAAGAACCCATACAGGGGTCTCCAACTGAGGATGTGCGTAGTCTAGGTTATCTCGTGATAGTGGTGCATCCAAAGCCTGAGCAACAAATACCTCCAGCCTCTCAAGACCTTTCACTCTGTCGTTGCTACAATTGTCAAGGTATATGCTTTTTCCTCTCGTCATTCAGAAATTCTGATGTGAGCACGCAGGTTCATCCCTATGCCCAGATTGCGCTTGGCATCTTAACTGCTGCTGCTCAGGCATGTTCACCCCTCGTTGCATAAGCTTCTCACCTCAGACAGCCCTACATAGTCGCTTACCAATCAATCTAACCTGGACCATGACTTGTCCGACCTCATCGGTGCAGTCAGAACAGTCTACGTATTTCTCCTAGAAGACAACAGCATCCAGAATATCGAGAGTATGAGGGAAGTTTTAAGGAGGATTGCGCAGGTGACAAGTGATGCAGCCTGGTTTATGAAGAATTACTCGGAGACAAAAAAGCTATGTATGTTGATTGCATCTTCTGTTGAAGGTCTGATTCAAATTGTTCCTAGGGAAGCAACAGAGCAAGAATACAGTGTTTGAGACGCGGGTTAGGACTGATGGCTACACCAAGCTACTGAATAGCCTGGTTCAACAGTATCGGGACCGTGTGTTTCGGGATGTTCACACCAACATATATCATGTACTTGAAGACCTGAACCCGGTGCGCGGGGAACTGGACCTTGTACGCGGAGATCTGGGAGAGCTGAGTTTGGAAGGCATGGCTTACGCGGGAGGCGCAAGTGTCAATAAGACGAAGACGTGCTTAGATGGCACCAGAGCTGAGATCCTCTCAGAGATCATCAGCTGGATCTACAATACTGATGAAAATGTTCCACGCATTCTCTGGCTCTACGGGCAGGCTGGCAGAGGGAAGTCTGCTATTGCGCATACTATCGCTCTGTGGCTCAAGGATACCAGATGGTATGGGTCGTGCTTTTGCTTTGCTCGGGATAGCCAGGTCGAGCGTCGCGAGGAAAAAATATTTACCACCATTGCACGTGATCTGGCAGACCGCGACCCTGCATTCCGGCGAGCTCTGGCTGATGTGCTTGCGAAGGACGATTCGCTCAAGACTACTTCCGATGTCACGCTACAGTGGAAGAAGCTCATTTTGGAGCCGTTGTCGACAATGTCGAGTACTATGATTGGGACTGTGATTGTGGTGGTTGATGCACTGGACGAGAGTGGTCTGGAGGAATCACGGAGGCACATCCTATCGGTACTCGCGTCACAGGCGGGTGTCCTTCCTCGTAACTTCCGTATCTTCATAACATCCCGCCCATTGCCTGACATTGAACGTGTGTTGAGCGCCGCTCCGCATGTGAAGGCAATCTCCTTGGACGATGTTTCAACAGAGTGGACAGAACGTGATATCCGCCTGTATGTTTCCAATCAACTCCATCACCTTCGGGAAATCGGAGACACTGAAGTTCAGAGGATTGCCCGCAAGGCAGACTGCCTATTTGAATGGGCTCGTCTGGCCTGCGATTTCATCAAACCTAACAGAGCTGGAGCAACCGTGAAGGAACGGTATGATGACGTGATTTCATTGCAGGCGGAAGAGGGAGGAACACTTTTGGATGCAACTTATTTGGCAATCCTGGAAATTGCTATACCCCAATCCAGGGGAGCCCTTGAACAATACTACTCCGTCATGAATCAAGTTGTGATGACGCTTGAACCTCTTCCTATAGCAGCCTTGAATTACATGCGCAAATGCTTCCCAGACAGGCAGGATCACTATGATGTGACACTCGTCCTAGAGTTCATGTCCCCAGTACTGGCTGGCATTGTTGACCACTCCTCTCCTGTCCGACCCCTCCATGCATCTTTTTATGACTTCCTAGCTGATCACGAACGGAGTGGAGTCTACTTCATTGGCACCTCCTGTTCCTACGACCTAGCTATTGCCGCTTTGCGAATCCTTCGTTATGGACTTCAGTTCAACATCTGTGGACTGGAAAGCTCCTACTTGGGCAATGTGGAGGTAGCTGATTTACCAGAGAGAATCAGCAAGAACATTCCACCCCATCTATCCTACTCCTGTCGATTCTGGTCACAACATCTACAGAAAACCACATTTGACTTGGCTCTTGCACACTTGGTGAAGGCACTGGTGAAGAGTGAAAGAATTTTATTTTGGCTTGAGATGATGAGCCTTCTGGGTGCAGTGGGGAATGCTGCTGCTGCTCTTGACTCTGTTGCAAAGTGGTTTTTGGTGAGTGTGTCACAGTTATTTGCATTTGATGTTATCTAACTTGATATTAAAGGACCAAGACAACTGCAAGGATATATTAGGATTGGTAAAAGATGGGATCAGGTTCCTTCACAGCTTTAGTGGTGCAATCTCACACAGTGCACCACATTTGTACATCTCTGCATTGCCATTCATTCCAGTGGAGACAATGCTATCAATGATACTTATGCCTAATTTTTCTTCCCTGCCTGGAATTGTAGGAGGTCAAGAACTCTGGCCAGCCACTCAACTACTTGGCTTAGAGGGACACACAGATGCAGTCATTTCAGTTGCATTCTCCCCTGATGGCAGGAGGATTGTATCAGGCTCTATGGATGAGACTGTGAGAGTCTGGGATGCTGAAAGGGGTGCACAGATTGGTAGCCATCTTGAAGGGCACACAGATGCAGTCATTTCTGTTGCATTCTCTCCTGATGGCAAGAGAATTGTGTCAGGCTCAAGGGATGAAACTGTGAGGGTCTGGGATTCTGAAAGGGGTGTGCAGATAGGCAGCCATATTGAGGGGCATACAGATGCAGTGTATTCAGTTGCATTCTCCCCTAATGGTAAGAGAATTGTTTCAGGGTCTTTGGACAAGACTGTGCGGATCTGGGATGCTGGAAGAGGTGTCCAAATTGGCAGCCAACTTGAAGGCCATACAGATGCAGTCTGGTCAGCTGTATTCTCCCCTGATGGCAAGAGGATTGTGTCAGGTTCAAGGGACAAGACTGTGAGGGTGTGGGATGCTGAGAGAGGGCTACAGATTGGTAGTCAACTTGAAGGGCATACAAATGAAGTTGTTTCAGTATCATTATCCCCTGATGGGAGGAGGATTGCATCAGGCTCTGTGGACAAGACTGTGAGGATCTGGGATGCTGAAAGAGGTGTGCAGATTGGCAGTCATCTTGGGGGGCATACAGATACAGTCCTCTCTGTTGCATTTTCTCCTGATGGCATGAGGATTGTGTCAGGTTCAGGAGACAAAACTGTGAAGGTCTGGGATGCTGAAAGAGGTGTGCAGATTGGCAGCCATCTTGAGGGGCATTCATGGGCAGTCTTTTCAGTGGCATTCTCCCCTGATGGCAAGAGGATTGTGTCAGGTTCAAGGGACAAGACTGTGAGGGTCTGGGATGCTGACAGAACTATGCGGCTTGGTAATCATCTTGGGAGGCATGCAGGTGAAATCAGGTCTGTTGCATTCTCCCCTGATGGCAGGAGGATTGTATCAGGCTCTTTAGACAAGAATGTCAAGGTCTGGGATGCTGAAAGAGGTGTGCAGATTGGTAGCCATCTTGAGGGGCACCAGAGTGGAGTCTATTCTGTTGCAT